CGGAAAAGATAAAAGTGGCTTTACGTGATTTACAGCCCCCTAAGTGGCCAGCCGCCACTTTCTTTACGGGCTATCGGGGTCGAGCCTGGGCGAGCTCACGAAAATTGAAAAAGAAGGGCAGCTCCAATTCCTTGGATCAAGAGCCCATCAACCTCAAGGCAAAATAATGCAATAAGGTAAAATAATACTAAATCATTTCGAGATTAAAAACGGCAAAATATCAACACGTTTCATTAAATACACCAATTTCTACCAACTATTGCTGGCCGAGTTAAAAGAAGAAAAATTGAAAGAGAGCAGCTCCAATCCCCTGAATCAAGAACCCTTCATCTCCACTGGGTGTGAGGGCGAGTCAATATGAATTGCGAGCCAACTCGGCTTGAATCGGCAATGTCTGATGAGAACGAGGATGAGGCGGATGAGAAGCCAAGCCAAGCCAGAACGAGCTAGATAAAACCAGGATAAACCAGGAACAGGAATATCAAACCAGTATGAGCCTAATCACTAATATGAGCCAGGCCAAATTAGGATGAGCCAGGTCAAACGAGTGAGAGCCAGGTTGAACGAAGATGAGCCAGATCAAACTAGGATCAGCCAGGTGGAACTGGAATGAACCAGGTCGGGCGACATTCGAACAAAATAAACAAGTCTGACAATTAACTGGTGTCAAAATATTTATTAAAGGTGTTATGATCGCCTCGACGAGAGGCACACCACATCGTGTTGTTGACGATGGTGTGCGAGGGTGGTGGTGGTGAGAACGATTATGGGGGTGGGAGAGGGGTAAACGATTGTGGTGGTGGTGGGGAACTGGGTAGGGAAGAAAAGGCTCTTGAGGCCTGAGCTGTCTGTAAATCTGACACAATGATTCGATCTCCCCGTGTCAGTCTGTGATCTAGTGGTGGTGGTAATTCCTCTTGCAGTGTGACCTTGTGACGCAATGACCTGACCTGTGGTGTCCACTTGTGACTCAAGAATTCTGCCAGTGTTGTGGTCGTACAAAACGCCAACCACTCCAGTATTGTGGCCCGTATAACACAGCAACCACGCCGGTATTGTGGCAGTACAACACAGCAACCACGCCAGTGCTGTGGCCGTACAACACAGCAACCACGTCAGTGCTGTGGTCCGTACAACACAACAACCACGACAGTGATGTGGTCGTACAACACAACTACGCCAGTGCTGTGGTCGTACAACACAACAACTACGCCAGTGCTGCGGTCGTACAACACAAGCAACCACGCCAGTGCTGTGGTCGTACAACACAGCAACCACGCCATTATTGTAAACGTCGCACTGCGTCCTCCTGTGCCCTGAGCTACCGATATACACAAGTTTAGTGTGGCTTGAGCAGCAACCATTACCACAAAAAGCGACAACTGTCAGCTGCATCAGCAGTAAAATAACAGCATTAGCAGGCACAGTGTAGATAGCAGACACAGTGGCAGTAGCAGAAAGCCGTAGCACTAGCACAGTGCCACTAGGAGGTCCAGTATAAAATTAGCAGGCAAAGTCTCTTCAGAAGAACCAGAATTTGCACAGTGACGGCAGCAGGTGGAGTAAAATAGCAGGAGCAGTAGCAAGCAGAGGGCCAGTTTCTGGTTCAGCAAAATAGCATAAGCAGTATCATTTAGCAGCAATTGCGGGCTAAGTGTAATTAATCAAGCACAATCCAGTTTGGTGTAATTAGCAAGCATAATCTCAGTTGGTGTAATTAGCAAGCACAATTCCAGTTGGTGTAATTAGCAAGGGGTCCCAGTTAGTGTAATTAGCAAGGAGTCCCAGTTGGTGTAATTAGCAAGGAGTCCCAGTTGGTGTAATTAGCAAGGAGTCCCAGTTGGTGTAATTATGCAAGGAGTCCCAGTTGGTGTAATTAGCAAGGAGTACCCAGGTTGGTGTAAATTAGCAAGGAGTCCCAGTTGGTGTAATTAGCAAGCACAGTCCCAGTTGGTGCAATTAGCAAGCAGTTGCAAAAGCAGTAGTATTTGCAAAGCACCAGCATCAGGTAGTAGTAACACTACTAACACTGCCAATCTCTTGAATATCAGGAAGAAAAATAATACCACAGCTTTTTTGGTCGAAGGTTTGATCAACACAGTGGTTTGTCAGTTTGTGTATGACTCTTGCCACACAGTGGTTTGTCAGTTTGTGTATGACTCTTGCCACACAGTGGTTTGTCAGTTTGTGTATGACTCTTGCCACACAGTGGTTTGTCAGTTTGTGTATGTCTCTTGCCACACAGTGCTTCGTCAGTTTGTGTATGACTCTTGCCACACAGTGCTTCGTCAGTTTGTGTATGACTCTTGCCACACAGTGCTTCGTCAGTTTGTGTATGTCTCTTGCCACACAGTGCTTCGTCAGTTTGTGTATGACTCTTGCCACACAGTGCTTCGTCAGTTTGTGTATGACTCTTGCCACACAGTGCTTCGTCAGTTTGTGTATGACTCTTGCCACACAGTGCTTGTCAGTTTGGTTGACTCTTGCCACACAGGCTTCGTCATTTGTGTAGATCTTGCCACACAGTGGTTCGTCATTTGTGTTGTCTCTTCCCCCCGTGGGTTTGTAGTTTGTGTATGTCTCTTGCCACCGTGGTTCCGTTTGTGTATGACTCCTTGCTCACGTGGTTTTGTCATTTTTGGGATGACTCTTGCCACCAGTGCTCGTCAGTTTGTTTGACTTTGCCCCCCAGTGCTTTTTCAGTTTGTGTATGACTTGCCAAAAAGGGGTTTGTCATTTGTGTTTGACTCTTGCCACACAGGGTTCGTCATTTGGTAAAGCTTTGCCACCGTGGTTTGCGTTTGTGTATTCTTCGTCAGTTTTTGTATATCTTGCCCCTCAGTGCTTCGTCAGTTTTTGTTGGGCTTTGCCCACAGGGGTTCGTCAGTTTGGTATGACTTTGCCACACATGGGCCGTCAGTTGTGCATGACCTTGCCACCCGTGGGTTTGTCAGTTTGGTATGACTTTGCCACCCGTGGGGTTTGTCAGTTTGTGTATGTCTCTTGCCCACGTGCTTTGTCGTTTGTGTATGAAACTTGCCACCCCAGGCTTTGTCGTTTGTGTATGAGTCTTGCCACACATGCTTCGTCAGTTTGGTATTCTCTTGCCACACAGTGCTTTGGTCATTTGTGTATGACCCCTTTCCAACAGTCTTCGTCAGTTTGTGTATGACTCTTGCCCCAAGTGCTTGTCTTTTTTTTTTTTGATTTGCCACCAGTGGTTCGTCGTTGTGTTGACCTTGCCCCCCACAGTGGTTCGTCAATTTGTGTTGTCTCTTGCCCCACGTGCTTTGTCATTTGTGGAAAGACTCTTGCCCCAGTGCTTCGTCAGTTTGTGTATGACTCTTTCCACAAGTGCTTCGCGTTTGGTTATGTCTCTTGCCACACAGTGCTTCGTCGTTTTTTTTTATACTCTTGCCCCCAGTGCTTTTGTCAGTTTTTGTATGAATCTTCCACACAGTGCTTCTCGTTTTTGTATGACTCTTTTCCACCAGTATTTGTAGTTTTTGTTTGACTCTTGCCACCTGGTTCGTCAGTTTTGTATGACCTTTTCCACACATGGTTCGTCAGTTTGTGTATGAGTCTTGCCACACAGTGGTTCGT